CCAGGAATCAAGTAACACTATGCAACAATACTTGCAGCCAATAAATAAAATTCTGAGTGATAATCTGCCTTATGTGTTTGAGTTATAAATGTCCCTTTCTTGCTATTGACAAGTATTAGGGGTTTTGTGTTAAATATGCTTATGAGACAGAGAAATGATAGAGTCAGAGCAAAACACACATATACACACCGAGGGAGATAGAGAAAAGAGAGATAGAGACAGAGTGACCGACAGAGAGAGAAAGAAGGAAAGACCTAGAAAAAACACACGGTAATGGTGGCATTGAGCACAGGTTTGGGCAAGAATGTGTGAACCGCATTTGAAATGCAGGGAGATGATGAAGACATGTGCAGACCTCAGAAGGAGAAGTCTGCTGACTGATAAGAGGGGCAAAGTGAGTAGAGAAGGAGAAGATTAAGATGAGAGAGGGCAGGACTACATTAGGAAGCTACACTAGGCCCAGCCATCTAGGAAGCAACCTGGAGATCAGGGAAGAAAGAGTAGAGTGAAGAGCAGTTTCGTCCTAAATCCCAGGGTGAACAAAAACCTGGTGGGAGGGTCTGTATGCCTCAAAGACCAGGATCAGAGAGAGTTCAGGCTGGTCCACCTAAGACACAAGTCCTGACTGCGTGGAGACAGAGGTGCCTGCATGAAGGAGGTTCCTGGAGGTTGGATGTACCTCCTCAACTCCTCCATTCTTTAATTAATTCACTCATTTAACAAATATTAGGCGAGGTCTACTGTGTAGTAGGCACCATATTGGGGACTCATGTCTGTAATATAGAGCTTTATAGATATGGCTCCACCTTTCCAGAGCTTATATTCTCCAGAGGAAGACCGTCTATGTGACATGATACCAAGTGCAATGGGCATAATGGGAGAAGCACGTAGAGCTGTGGGATCCTGTAGAAAGGTATCCATCCCAATATCCAATACTGACAGGTCATGGGAAGCCACCAAGAGGAGGAACCATCTGAGTGGAAAATCAAAGAGCAAAAATTTAGGAAGTAAGGGGAAGGGAGGTGGTCCCGGTAGAGAGAAGGGAGTATGAAAAGATTTTAGAGCTTGTGTTCTAAACCAGTGCTTTTCAATCCATCTGTAGTGGAACCAGTTTCTTAAACTTTCAATGAATTATGGACCAATACTTTTGTTAAACACAATAAAAAAGAATGACTAGGAAAATAAAATGACAAAGATTTTTTAAGAGTGCCCAATATTTAAATTATTAGATTCAATAGACATAAATCACTCTGCCAAATTGCTAGAAAATCTTCTAAGCACTTGTTCTCCATTTTTGTACTTATCTCATTATGGAATAATAACTGTCTATGGGCCAGAAAAGATGACACTTTGAGTAGCACTGCCCTGTAGTAGACAAGTAAAGGTATGCATTACAGAGAGGGGCAACCAGGGCACTCCACCACCAGAATTACTTTTCTGGGTAGAGCGGCATTCAGATTACTGGATGGTCTAAAATTTGATTATTCACCTAAGTAAATTGTAACAATTAAATCCTCAGAACTCCTAATTGTTAACACCAGGACTAGTATGATAGAGACAGTAGGATCCCAGCAACTGAAACAGAAAAAAAATGGGAAAATGTTGGGCAAGGAGATGAAGAAAGCTTTATTTTATCCCCTTTTCAAAGTAATTTTATTATTTGTTTCCAATTTTCTTACACTAAACCCTATTTAGTCCATCTTGATTAAAAACATAAACAGAAAACCAAACCAACCACAAAGAGCTCTCCCCCAACAACTTCTCTCTTTTGCTTTCCAGCCTACCTCTTTTGTACTTAGCTCAGGAGCTACTTGTCCTGAAATGTATTGGCATACCCTTGCTGAAATTGTTCCCCAAATACATTCAAATTTTTCTCTCATATCCAGGCTGCAATTTCCTTTGAAATTGGTTTAACCCCTTTAACGTAACTTCAAGGGACACGATAGTTTCGCAGTGAAGGAGGCGACTTCATAAATGGTTTTGTTGGCTGGAACTGAATACTTAGGTTCCTTAGTCCTAGGGAAG